TCCATCAAGAAGGATTTTATGGTGAAAACTAGACTTTCCTCTTATAAGAGCGGCTCTTCTTTACCTCCGTACGGTATGGTTAGACTATCGGCAATTTTCTTTTCTTTTTTAAAGTCACTTCCCCACTTTATTAAGCTAAATTAGGAAGTTCGTCAGAAACAATACTGAGAATACAATCTGGGGGAGACATCTCCCAAGAAACCGAAATGCTATTACAAAAACCGAAACGGGCAATCTCATGAGCCGCTTTCTTCGCCTCCCTTCTCACCCAAGTAGCTCTGAACTCCCCTATGTTTGTGGCCATCATTTTGATTTCTTCCACCAAGATACCCACCGACGACAAATTTCGATCTTGCTCATTTAGCATCCTGGCCACGTTAAGGCAATCGGTCTCCAGATGGAGTTTGGGCACACCTCTTTGCAGAGCTAGATCGACCGCCCTCCTGCATGCCAGCAGCTTCGCCACTTCTGCCAATGTGATATCTGGAAGAAGAACAACATCCGCACCTCTGAAGGTTCCATCTTCATCTCTGAACAGAACACCACCACCTCCTCCTTGCCTCGACCGAGACATAGCTCCATCGACGTTGGCCTTGAGCCAACCCGACGCTGGTGGTTCCCAGCTTGCACGTTGGGTAGGTGATGACAAGGTCTCCGTCTGGCCCCGGACTTTCTTCCATTCTTCCATGAGCGCTGCTACTCTCCTCGCCACCATGTTGGCCTCTTCGATTCTTCTTCCATCACGGGTGTCATTTCTTGCCAGCCATATCGCATATAAGCCCTGGGCCATCGCCGACTTGTCGTCCTCTGAGGCATCCGACATCCACTGAAGCATCCATGATGCAACCAAACTCTCGGTGCACATAGATCGAGGTGGGATCTCCACCCTCGCACCCAATACCGAGTTCAGCTCCTTCTAGAAAAGCATGGAATGATAGCAGCCCCAAAATCTGTGATACAAAGTTTCCTCATGACCACAAGCCGGGCAAAAGACGCCGGGCTTGATCCTTCTACGAAGAAGTTTTGAGCCCACCGCCAAGTTGTTCTTGGTCAGCCGCCACACATGGATCAACACTTTCCCTGGCGCGTTGGTGCCCCAAAGTGCTAGCCAACTCCGGTGGTTCACCGCCTTTGAGGACGAGCCCGACTGTCCGGTTCTCGCCTTCTTCTTCTCCATGCATAGGTGGTAAGCTGACTTCACCGAAAATTTTCCATCGTTCGTAAAATTCCAAGCTACGATGTCCTCAGTACCCGGTCCGCCGACACAAATCTGTAGGATATCCTGTACATCCCCATCGATGAACATTGCTTCTAGCTTGTGTCGATCCCAACTTGTAGCCTCATCATTTAGTAGATGGCTCACCCTTGTAATCCCCGACATATACACCTGGCCCAGTGGCCGTAGGCTACCTTTGCGGGGGATCCAATTATCATGATCAATGCGGATGGTGGAACCATCGCCCACTCGCCATATTAGTCCGTCCAAAAGCAGATTTCTGCCATGCAGAATACTTCTGAAGGTGTATGATGCACCCCCCCCCCCGGACATGTTGCATTGAGGATAGATCCATGATCATAATAGCGTGCTTTGAGGACGCGTCCACACAGAGAAGAAGGGACTTGCAGCAGTCTCCATGCTTGTTTAGCAAGTAGGGCCTGATTGAACGCTTCAATGTCTCGAAACCCCATCCCTCCCTCCTGCTTGCTCTCACACATTTTCTTCCACGCGATCCAGTGAACCTTTTTCTCACCATTAGCTTCACCCCACCAAAAGTTAGAAGAAATAGATGTCAGGTTCCCCCATATTTTCTTGGTGAGCTGAAAGCAACTCATAGTGAAAGTTGGGGTTGACTGGAGCCCCGATTTGAATGCGCGCAACATAGGAGGGTCCATCTCATATCAAGAAAATCAAAATCTAACATGGACAGGGAAATAGGGCGGCCCAAGCACACACATGGTTTCTCTACTTTTGCAAGATTTATTAGAAGAATCAACAAGCTAAGGGCCTCTTCGATTCATATGAACGGTGCAAGGCAAATATAGGGATGATTTTTTTTCCGTACAGTGACACTAGTTATCATATTTGAATCAAAGGAGGGGGTCATAAGAAAAATGGTGAAATGTTACCTTTGGTTCGAATGTCAAAGAAAAAAACAAATGAATTACACAATCCAGTCAAATGTCTTTATTTTTATATTTATATGCACAAAGAACAAAGCAAAAACAACATATAATATAATATTAACCTTTTCTTATTTTTGCTGTTTTAACCTCAATTTGATCATGTGTTTTAGATGCCTGTGTGTTTTCCTATTCTTACAAATCAAACACTCAGCGGTTGTGTTTTCATAATCCTTCATTTTGAAGTGGGGCATTTTGATGACCGGGCTCTATGGAGCCCTTTATTTTTGAAAAATTGAAAATTCAAACTTTCCTATTTAAAAAAATCTGAAAAAATTATGCAAGTATACAATGATGAAATGTATGTGTGCATAAAAATTCAGGACGAAATACATTGAAATGCGACTTGTACAAAAAAGACAAATTCATGGACTTTGAGGGTGAATAGTATCATGTGTTGAAAAGCCCTAGATTTGTTTTTTTTTTTGCACAGCTCTCATTTCAATGTATTTTGTCTTGAACATTTACACACATGTACATTATGCCTTCATGTATATATGTAATTTCTTCAGAAGTTTTTGAAATGTAAAAATATGAATTTTGCAAATGGAGGCCTCCATGGAGCTCAGCCTCCAAAAGCAATTTTCGTTTGTTTTGCACATAAAATTCTACCATATTCTCATGTTTCCCCAATTGTATGTTTTTAAGACCCGCAAATGAAAGAGGCCCTAAAAGGTGTATGTACTATCCTCTTCAAGATCAAGTACGTCCTATGGTTTGAACTTACAATTCATATCACATTGTTACTCCCTGCCAAGTAAGCTTTGGCCCTCCTCCGGATCACCAGCACCAACCTGGCCCCATGGGTGCCTCTGGGCTCTGGTACCTCCTCAATGCCTCCAACCTCTTGGCAACTTCTTTCATCGATGGTCGCTCCTCGCCGCTCATGCTCACTGGTGAGTCCAATTTATGCGACAATTTGCATATTTTATTTCATTCAGTAGTGTAGAATTCTTTGGATTTTATTGCATTCACGCACCTTTTTCTACATGTTTCCGCCAGGACGTTATGTACGAAAATTATACGGAGTCTAAGGAAAGAAGGCCAACTTATGATGATAAATCACCCTAATAAATGAAATACCATATTACCATAAAGAAGCAAAGCAAATGAGAGAAGAAACAAACCACGTAGGAGGCTCTCGGGCGATCGACGGCGTCCGCTACGCTAGTACCAGTGGTTGTACCAGCCACCGTTGACTCTGTTAGGTCAACTATTTAGCCCCCGTGCACACGGATCAACGAGGAGATACAGAACGCATCCAAAAACACGCCCAAAACGAAGAACCCTCTCTGGAAGGATTCGAGAGGGGGAATTGATTGGAGGACCCCACCACCGCGTCACCGCATGAGAGGACACTATTTTCATCCGTCACTGTCATCACCACCCCATCTCCATCACTTTGTAATACGTTAGCTGGTGTGTCTCCACTTGTGTATTACTCCAACGCTATTACCGTGTTTATTACAATTCATCCCGCGATGCTTGTACTCTCGATGTGTGATGTGTGAGTAGATTCCCTAGTTCTCGGGGATATGGAGGAACCCTGGTATGTTTATGATCGTTTGGTAATAGAATTTGATATCCTCTTTATATGTTTGTGTTAGTAATATTCTTGATGTTGAGTGAAGTCGATTATCCAAGATATGCCTCTTTTGGACAGAAAGTAATTACTGTAGGCATGATGGTTGGTTAGGCTGGCTATAGTGGGGGTAACATAACCGGGCACACAATTAAAGAAGAGAGAGAGGGTTAGAGTAACATAGGTAGATACCGTATCATGTTAAATGCTATGCTACTTTGTGTCATGCATGACAATAAATATGATCATCTATGATACTACTTTATGATACTATGCACTATGGAGGTAGTATCATATGCATGATATTAGTATATGATACTCCCCACTGTGACTAGCCTTACAGAGATAGATTAGTGATGGGGTCCTCCTCCCTGAGGGTTGCAATAGGGGATAAAAGAAGACCGCTTTAGAAACCCGACTTAGAATTATGCTTAGGTATCGGTCATGTTAGATATTCCCTCCGTTTCATATTACTCGTCGCTGATTTAGTACAGAAATCAGCGACGAATAATATGGAACTGAGGAAGTACATACTAGCGGGGATTCCGAACTCCCTGGAACAAGTTAGTCCTATCTATTCCAACAACAGTTATTCACGTCTCATGCCACTTTACTTTACTTTTTGCAGTTTATTTTATTGTTCGCATGAAGCTGAACATTAGTAAGCACTAAGCAGATGCCTTGACACGGTCACATGGATAATTGGCAATAGGCAATTGAATATTGATCCACTTGACTACTTTCTGCGAGACCAGCCAAGTCAAACCTGCCTGATGCTCATCGGCTCATCGCATTCACATCCACCATCGGTCCATCTCCATCGTCCACTGAGCTCACGTCACCGACTCACCGCCTATGTATATATCCGAGCAGAGCAACCAACAGAGGAGACCATGTCAAGCTAGGATGGCGACTACCACCATACTGCTGCTGCTCATCGTGCTGCATTTGCGGGCGGCAGCTGCCTCAGCCGTCCCCTACCCCTTGGGCATCGGCGCCGGCTGCTTCCGCGACGACGGCCAGCAGGGCTTCCAGCTCGAGTGCGACGATGTGCTCTATTACGTACTACATTTGTGGTTTGCCTGATCAAATGTTGAAATGACTTTGCAAACTGAAGACATCGACGAGTGCCAACTGAAAGGCGAATACCCGTGCTACGGGGTCTGCACAAACACGCAGGGAAGCTACAGTTGCCAGTGCCCTCCCGGGACAAGTGGAGATGCCACCAGGAAGGATGGCTGCCGGCCAAAGGACAAGTTCACCTTAGCTCTGAAGATCTTTACAGGTAACACATTCATTTAGCTTGTTGGTTCGTCGTGCAATTTATAGATAATAATGAATCTAAACTAATGATCGAGTATGCAATGTGTCATATCTAGGAGTCAGCGTGGGGGTGTTCTTGTCAGTGTTCATGTGCTTCTGGCTCTACTTGGGGCTGCAGAAGAGAAAACTCATCAAGGCAAAGCAGAGCTTCTTCGAGCACATAGGAGGCGTCATCCTGCAGCCGTAGATGCGCTCCTACGGTGGCGCCGCCGGGGGAGGCAGTGGCGGGTTCAAGATATTCTCGGAAGAGGAGCTCAAGAAGGCCACCAACAACTTTGCCGCTGACCAGATCCTCGGTCGCGGCGGCCACGGCATTGTGTACAGAGGTGTTCTGGAGGACAAGACCATTGTGGCCATCAAGAAGTCTAAAATGATGGAGGCCACAGAGACAAAGGAGTTCGCGAGGGTGATGCTCATCCTCTCCCAGATCAACCACCGAAACGTCGTCAAGCTGCACGGTTGCTGCCTCGAGGTGGAGGTGCCTATGTTGGTCTATGAGTATGTCTCCAACGGCACTCTCTACCACTACATCCATGGCGGCGAGGGCCACGACACCAACAAGGCACTCGACACCCGCCTACGGATAGCGGCAGAGTCGGCCGAGGCGCTGTCGTACATGCACTCGTCGGCCTCGCCACCGATCCTCCACGGTGATGTCAAGACGTCCAACATCCTGCTCGACGGCAGCCTCACCGCCAAAGTCTCTGACTTTGGGGCGTCGAAGCTAGCACCAAGTGACGAGGCCGAGATTGCGACACTGGTGCAAGGCACCTGCGGGTACCTAGATCCGGAGTACCTCATGACATGCCAGCTAACGGACAAGAGTAACGTGTACAGTTTTGGCGTCGTTCTGCTCGAGCTCTTGATGGGAAAGAAGGTGCTCTGCTTTGACGGGCCAGAGGAGGACAGGAGCCTTGTGTCCCGGTTCATGACGGCCGTGAAAGCTGGCCAGCACGGTGAGCTCCTTGACGACCAGGTGAGATTGGAGATGGGCCCGGAGGCACTGGAGGAAGTAACACACCTCGTGATGCGGTGTGTGAGCATGATGAGGGAGGAGCGTCCGTCGATGAAGGAAGTTGCAGAGAAGTTGGAAGCTCTGAGGAGGTATCAACGGAACCCATGGGGTCAGGCTGGTGCTGATCCGGAGGAGGGGCAAAGCTTGCTTGGCAGAGACGGTGAGCAACAACATGAAGTGAATTATAAGTTGAGACCGCAAGATCGTGCTTGATCTTGAAGAGGGTAGTACATATACTTTTAGCTTGTAAGTTTTCTACAAGGCGTTGCCGGGACTGTTTCTTAAAGTCGACACAGATGTGTAAAGTCTTTTGGGTGTAACGACAGAAATGCACAAGAGTTACTTGGGAAAGGAATCTTCTTTTTTGTGAGAACAGAAAAGAATGTTCATTAACAAAAGATAAATGCAACGAAAAGAATAAGAGAGAAATGTTCTATGAAACAACAACAACAACAACTGTAGGGGATATGCTCCTCGGAAGTACCATGCGACATCCCCCCAAAAGGTTACCAACAAAAAGGACCATATGCTTTACTTGGGCTCAGACTTTTTCTTGAACCAAATCATGGAAACAGAGTCCTCTGCTCTGCACCGTCATATTCACACCACACTGGAACAGAGTCATGCGATTGGGCCGAAGGCCTAGAAATCTTGTTTTTTTAATTTTATTTTCTGTAGTCTATTGTCATCGGAGTTATATCACGGTAGCCACTGAGAACGGAAGGTATCAAGAATTAGCCTTATCCCGTACTGAGTTTTGTGAAGATATTTTAGTTTCATTGTTAAAGAAATACCATCATGCTTCATGCATTTTCCAGATACTAAGTTTAGTGCTGCTGGGTGCTGGCAATGCAAGACTGTGTTCAATGAGCAAAGCGGTTTGACCACCCTCGACTCACTGGAATCCAAAAGCATGGACAAAAATGGCACATGTATACCTTGACATAGTAGAACATGTGTACAAAAAGATTATCCAAGATTGACTATCAAGACAACTAAAATTTGAAGAAAGCAACCCAATTTGTGAGAGTTGAATTTATTCTGAGTAGCAAATTCTTGAAAGAACTCTTGTATGAAAATAAAAATTCTGGAAAAACAACAACATAGAATAACTCTTAAACTCTTCACTGTAATTCTAAAGGAAAAACATAGAATAACTCTTAAACTCTTCACTGCAGTACTGTTCAGCATCTCCACTACAAAGTTATAACTCGGAATTCCAGAAATATTTGAGAACCAGATCAGCATATGACATGAACTGTCACTCCAGACTGAAGAAAGTAGTAGAGGATTGGGAATGGCCTTTGTCGGCCATTTGAATGGCCAAAGGTTGATAACTAGGGACAGTTGGTGGTTGACAGTTAGTGACTAATGGTTGGATCTCTTCGTCGCTTCCTTCACCAATTTGACATGAGGTCAACCTTTTTGTTCGCAAATATTGTAATGTACTCTCCACTTGCTTCATGGTAGGCCTTTCTTCTCCCCGGAGACGCAAACACATCTCCACAAGAGAGGCAATGGTATTAATTTCATCTTCAGTTGCTTCTTCAAGAACTTGAGTAGCCACCACCTCTCTTACTGGCCTCACTTTGATCTCTGAAATGAAGTAGATGGACAAGTTTTGATAACACTCTCCACCTGCATTGCTTCGGAAAACTGGCTCTTTTCTTGTGAGCAACTCTAGGAGTAACACACCAAAACTATACACATCACTTTTCTCGTTTAGTTTACCGGTTTGATAATATTTTGGATCCAAGTATCCAAATGTTCCTTGTACATTTGTAGTCACATGAGTTTGGTGAATTGGAGCTGTTCTCGACGCACCAAAATCCGAAACTTTAGCGGTGTAATATGCATCCAACAATATATTAGAGGACTTGACATCATGATGAAAAACTGATATGGAAGCAGATGTATGTAAATAACATAGAGCTCCAACAGATTCTAGAGCAATCCTCAAACAGTCGTCCCAGGATAGAGAGTGCCCACTGACTGACTCACCACGCAGGACATCAAATAAAGAGTCATTAGGGATAAAAACAGACACCAACAGGGGCACCTCTGTTTCAAGACAACATCCAAAGAGCTTCACGATATTTCGATGATTTATCTGAGAGAGGATTGCAACCTCATTAATAAACTCATTGATCTCAGCTTCCTCAACAAGTTTTGACTTTTTTATAGCTACCACACGCTGGTCAGATAAGATGCCTTTGTATACCATGCCATTCCCTCCACGTCCGACAATTCGAGCATCATCAAAATTGTTTGTTGCCTTCTCCAACTCTTCTAAGGAGAAGATCGTTGTCCTATCACTTGCATTTTCATCAGACAATATGAGTTGTTCCAACAGAAGGCCCTGGTTTTTACGGAAGTACATCCTGCGTCGTTGTTTCCTGATACCTCTTTTCCATCTATAGAAAAAGAATACCCCACTCAAACCAACAAGTAGCATTCCCAAGGCAGCGCCCAGTCCAACCATAACACCTACTAGATCGGGTTTGCGCCCTGGCGCGAGGGTGCCGGTCCCAACATTTTCGAAACAGGTAATTCTAAGTCAGTATTAACCCAAGTTTAATATATGCAATCATAATAGATAACATGCAGTGAAGAATATGATATGAGCGCGATATAGATGTGCAGACACTTCTAAAATTGAACGAACAATTTTGAAACATGTGAACAGATTTCAAATTTATAGTAATATTTTAAAAATATGTTAACACTTTTTAAGTTACACAGAAAAAGTCTATAATAGTCAACAATGCAAATCTCTTCAAACAAGAAACCCATCGCGTCCGACACTTATCCATCGCCACCAAGTGCTCTGTAGTAGAAATATCAGCCAAAATATGCAGTACTGATTATCTGAACTGGAGCATCACATTCTAAACAAGAAATAGGAATATATCTAATAGACAACATACTGAACTTGGTTCACAGGACACGACAATCCTTACGATATGAGCCTTGTAAAAAGAAAAGATGTATTTACTATATCATCTATCATTCTAGCATAGCGAGTACAGCCTTAGGATAAAGAGATGATTCACAATGGAGTTGACAGATGCCATGAGGACGATCAAGAGTACATAATCAGTTGGGCTACAAAGCAGCAGAGCAAGTCTGTGAATAGATCATACACGCTTTCATATTTACAAAGGGAAGAATCCTGGCACAAAGACTTTGTGACCCTGACGAAGAACGGACAAATGGATGGGCTTCATCTGTGGATAAAAGAAAACATATTCAAATAAACATCAGGAAAACAGGCTACAAGACACTATCTAGTGACAGGATAACAATGCAAAATGAAAATCTAATGATCATAGAGAATAACAGTAAAACATGAAGTATCCTAAAGTAATTTCTTAAAACATGAAGAGAAAGAATGTACCACATCACATGTATGTGCAAAAGAGCTGGTGATAGTCCAAGGTGTGCCAGGAGCATGTCAAGAACTGCCCTGTCTGGGATCCTAAACACTCGCTGGGTGTCCTGCAGTTCCCAATAACATAAAACATAAGGCCTTCGGGAATTGCCCAAAACAATTCAGCATGGGAGAGGAATCAGAGAAATCAGTTGCGGATAAAAGCAACCACAGTGATAAATAAGATATGCCAAGCCTATCGTTTAATCAGGATTTTGTTGAGGATGTGCCAAGCGTTTTTAAAAAACAACAGACCATGAATCAATTGAAAACACAACCTGTCACCTATTGTTCAAAGCCACAGATCTGATTGGCATGCACATTGCTTGGTCTTTCCAAAGAAAATGCAGTCCTAGACAACATCTAATCAACTGAGGAAACATCTACAAAGCTATTAACTACATCAAGAGCACGTCAGAGAAACATAATTTAAACCATCACACTGCCTGGATCTAAATGGCACTATTTTCTTACTACTATCCGTGAGCTTCTACAACCCCTAGTTCAGATGCATGTTTCTCTGCAGAGATAGCAATGTGTACAAATTCAGATATATGCATACATTTTCAGCTATATTTTCAGATATGTCAGCAACCAATGTTCTTTGGTAAAATGATTCCTTAGACATCTGCTTGTGACACCCCTCTTGCATACGTGAGAAAAACTATACACACTGCCTGATGGTTGTGTATGTGGAGACATACCATTATAAAAAGATGTCATGGTTTCTTGCATTAGAATG